ACCAATGGATGCAGTTCATCACAGCGCACTACACTTTATTACGGGCGACAGGTTCAGTACACATCGCTACATTCTGTATCAGAAAGTAGGCTGGCCCTCTTTGAAGTGTCAAAGATCGATGCATTGATCTCTTTTTGTTTATAAAGCTCTTTTACAAAAACTCCCGCTGTACCTAACATCATTGATAACCTTCAGATGTATAAGTTACAATACCCGGTCTCAGGGATGGCTAACTCTGGACAGTTTGTAGTTTTTTTTGCACCTTTCTTGTGGAATAATCTCCAAAACTCTTGAAAATTGGATGAATTGGTGCCTCTATGGCATTTAAGATGGCTGATTGAGGACCTTTTTAATGAAGAATGTGTTTGTTTTCTATGACTGTTTTTTGTATCTCTGTTTTGCTTCTTATATTGTATTGATAAAATAAAATCAAATTGTATTTGTCACATGCGCCGAATACAACAGGTGTAGACCTTACAGTGAAATGCTTACGTACAAGCCCTTAACCAACAATGCAGTTTTAAGAAAAATAAGTGTTAAGTAAAAAATAGATAAGTAGAAATAAAAAAAGAAGACAAATAACAAAATAACAAATAATTAAAGATCAACAATAAAATAACAGTAGCGAGGCTATATACAGGGGGTACCGGTACAGAGTCAATGTGCGGGGGCACGGGTTAGTCGAGGTAATTGAGGTAATATATACATGTGGGTATAGGTAAAGTGACTATGCCTAGATAATAAACAGAGAGTAGCAGCAGCGTAAAAAGGGACAATGCAAATAGTCCGGGTAGCCATTTGATTAGCTGTTCAGGAGTCTTATGGCTTGGGGGTAGAAGCTGTTAAGAAGCCTTTTGGACCTAGACTTGGCGCTCCGGTACCGCTTGCCGTGCGGTAGCAGAGAACAGTCTATGACTAGGGTGGCTGGAGTCTTTGACAATTTTTAGGGCCTTCCTCTGACACCGCCTGGTACAGAGGTCCTGGATGGCAGGAAGCTTGGCCCAGTGATGTACTGGGCCGTACGCACTACCCTCTGTAGTGCCTTGTGGTCGGAGGCCGAGCAGTTGCCATACCAGGCGGTGATGCAACCAGTCAGGATGCTCTCGATGGTGCAGCTGTAGAACTCTGAGGATCTGAGGACCCATGCCAAATCTTTTCAGTCTCCTGAGGGGGAATAGGCTTTGTCGTGCCCTCTTCACGACTGTCTTGGTGTGTTTGGACCATGATACTTTTGTTGGTGATGTGGACACCAAGGAACTTGAAGCTCTCTACCTGCTCCACTACATCCCCGTCGATGAGAATGGAGGCGTGCTCGGTCCTCCTTTTCCTGTAGTCCACAATCATCTCCTTTGTCTTGATCACGTTGAGGGAGAGGTTGTTATTCTGGCACCACATGGCCAAGTCTCTGACCTCCTCCCTATAGGCTGTCTCATCGTTGTCGGTGATCAGGCCTACCACTGTTGTGTCGTCGGCAAACTTAATGATGGTGTTGGAGTCGTGCTTGGCCATGCAGTCATGGGTGAACAGGGAGTACAGGAGGGGACTGAGCGCGCACCCCTGAGGGGCCCCCGTGTTGAGGATCAGAGTGGCAGATGTGTTGTTACCTACCCTTACCACCAGGGGGCGGCCCGTCAGGAAGTCCAGGATCCAGTTGCAGAGGGAGGTGTTTAGTTCCAGGATCCTTAGCTTAGTGATGAGCTTTGAGGGCACTATGGTGTTGAACGCTGAGCTGTAGTCAATGAACAGCATTCTCACATAGGTGTTCCTCTTGTCCAGGTGGGAAAGGGCAGTGTGGAGTGCAATATAGATTGCATCATCTGTGGATCTGTTGGGGCGGTATGCAAATTGGAGTGGGTCTAGGGATTCTGGGATAATGGTGTTGATGTGAGCCATGACCAGCCTTTCAAAGCACTTCATGGCTACAGACGTGAGTGCTACGGGTCGGTAGTCATTTAGGCAGGTTATCTTAGTGTCCTTGGGCACAGGGATGATGGTGGTCTGCTTGAAACATGTTGGTATTACAGACTCAGTCAGGGACATGTTGAAAATGTCAGTGAAGACACTTGCCAGTTGGTCAGCACATGCTCGGAGTACACGTCCTGTGAATGTTGACCTGCTTAAAAGTCTTACTCACATCGGCTACGGAGAGCGTGATCACATAGTCATCCGGAACAGCTGGTGCTCTCATGCATGCTTCAGTGGCTTGCCTCGAAGCGAGCATAGAAGTGATTTAGCTCATCTGGTAGGCTTGTGTCACTGGGCAGCTCACGGCTGTGCTTCCCTTTGTAGTCTGTAATAGTTTTCAAGCCCTGCCACATCCGACGAGCGTCAGAGCCGGTGTAGTACGATTCAATCTTAGTCCGGTATTGACTCTTTGCCTGTTTGATTTTTCATCTGAGGGCATAGCGGGATTTCTTATAAGCGTCCGGGTTAGTGTCCCGCTCCTTGAAAGCGGCAGCTCTACCCTTTAGCTCAGTGCGGATGTTGCCTGTAATCCATGGCTTCTGGTTGGGGTATGTACGTACGGTCACTGTGGGGACGACGTCATCGATGCACTTATTGATGAAGCCAGTGACTGATGTGGTGTACTCCTCAATGCTATCTGAAGAATCCCGGAACATATTCCAGTCTGTGCTAGCAAAACAGTCCTGTAGCTTAGCATCTGCGTCATCTGACCACTGTTTTATTAACCGAGTCACTGGTGCTTCCTGCTTTAGTTATTGCTTATAAGCAGGAATCAGGAGGATAGTGTGGTCTACAGCTTATCATGAGATACTCTACCTCAAGCGAGCAAAACCTTGAGACTTCCTTAGTATTAGATTTTGTGCACCAGCTGTTGTTTACAAATATACACAGACCGCCACCCCTTGTCTTACCGGAGTCAGCCATTCTATCCTGCCGATGTAGCGTATATCCCGTCAGCTGTATGTCGTCGTTCAGCCACGACTCGGTGAAAGATAAGATATTACAGTTTTTAATGTCCTGTTGGTAGGATAACCATAATCTTAGGTTATCCAATTGGTTCTCAAATGATTGAACATTGGCTAATAGGATTGATGGAAGAGGCAGTTCACTCGCTCGCCGTCGGATCCTTACAAGGCACCCCAACCTACGTCCACGATATCTCAGTCTCTTTCTCATGCGAATGACAGGGATTTGGGCCTTGTCAGGTGTCTGTAGGATATCCTTCACGTCCGACTCGTTGAAGAAAAAATCTTCGTCCAATACGAGGTGAGTAATCGCTGTCCTAATATCCAGAAGCTCTTTTTGGTCATAAGAGACGGTGGCAGAAACATTATGTACAGAATAAATTACAAATAACGTGAAAAAACACACATAATAGTACAATTGGTTAGAGGGCTGTAAAACGGCAGCCATCTTCTCCGGCGCCATGGGATTTCTTATAAGCGTTCGGGTTAGAGTCCCGCTCCTTGAAAGTGGCAGCTCTACCCTTTAGCTCAGTGCGGATGTTGCCTGTAATCCATGGTTTCTGTTTGGGGTATGTACGTACGGTCACTGTGGGAACGACGTCATCGTTGCACTTATTGATGAAGCCAGTGACTGATGTGGTGTACTCCTCAATGCCATCGGAAGAATCTCAGAACATATTCCAGTCTGTGCTAGCAAAACAGTCCTGTAGCGTAGGATCTGCGTCATGATGTGTATATTTTTTGTAATTACAGGGCTCATCTGTAAAAGAGACCTTGGTCTCAGCATGACTCCTTGTCAAAATAATGGTGAAACTTTCACTTTTAAAAGTTATATTCTGTTAACTCATACCTAGATAATGTTGTTGACTGATCCTATACCTGTATTTGAGGCCAAAGCATAAATTGGAGAAAAACCCCACCTCAAACTTGTATCTCAAACAGACCATTTCATTTTTTTATTCTATTTCCTCATAGAACATGACCTCACGTTGGCTAATTGGCTGAGCTGGCCATTCAGCTGTCTACTCATGTAACATTTTTAATGATTGTTATATGTCCACGCCATTCTGTTGGGGTATGTTCACACCATTCAAACATAGAAAAGCTGCTTTTTAACATACTTAACTAAAAAATGTTTAAGGAAAATTACTTCACTCAATGTAATTTATTATAGCATATTTAATAGAACTCTGGAAACACTGGACAGTTACAAAAAAAAAAAAACGGTTAAGAAAATTATTTATTGACATCACTAGAACCATGTAAAATACATTAGGGACAGTCTCATATACCCAGATTAAGCCTACTCCTGGACTAACCATGTTCAATGAAGCATCACTGTTGAAAGTGCTTTTAGTCCAGGACACACTGTATAGAGTGGCAGGCCTAATCAACATTGTCATAGCATCAACTCACCTTCACTTGGAGAGAGAACAGACAGCAGGATCCAGAGGAGCATAACCTACATCGGATACAGTATAGAATGTTTTATTATTCGAGATTAGCCATTTGCAGAACGCAGTGAACTGGGTGCAGTTGGTGGGTAAATATTTGTAGGTTGAATATGATGTTGTGAATGTCCGTTTTAATTTATTCTTGAAGAAGCGGCATTTCAACGTTTGGTGAGCATATGACCGTACGTAATATATGATTTGCCTCAATACAGGATACTTTAACAAATACAAATATAGCGTCATTTCATTTAAAACTCAATGTGTGTACATTTTCAGTAATCTTTGAGGGTAGTTAGGACATTCATAACCAGGAAGAAATCGAAATGCATCCTGTTCCAATCAGGCGCAGCCTTTCCAACTGTAAACTAAACGTGCGCACATTGCGTGATTGAATATTCCAATCAACTCCAGCCCAAGGCACACATTTTTACAATCGATTCCGCCAGTTTTCAAATTCTTCTCTATGATTCAACGGTCTCTGTCGAATTGGGGCGTCAATGTCCCGTTTATTTCCTACATTCCGTAACCAAGACCCAGTACAGAGCATAGGTACGCTGAACAGCCGCTTGTGGTCGCTATTTACTTGTCTTTGACGGTCGTGTGTTTTTCACCCGGCCTTCCCCCTTTTCCAGATATTTCTGCGTTAAAATGTCAGTTTTCACCCCACCCAGTAGGTGGCGGCAATACACATTCTTGGTTTGTAGTCCGCCAATAAAAACTCAGAGAAGAAGAAGGAGCTTCCTTCAAGCTTGCATCCGCACCAGAGCTGCGTTAAACACGGTTAATATTCCTGCAACACAGAGAACTTCAGCGAAGCAATCATCATGCCTATGTTTTTGGTAAATACTAATGTGGCGAAGAGTGACATTCCGCCTGCACTGTTGTCTGAGGCCACAGAGGAACTGGCCAAGGCGATGGGCAAACCTGTGCAGGTGAGTCTTTCAAACTTGGCACAGCAATGCCTTTTTTTTGCTCCAGTTGTAGATAGTTAGATAGTTGCTTTGATGCTGGTGCATTTTTCGGCACCGAAAATTGCATTGCAGGGTACCCCTTTTGTTGCAGTTGAGAGACCTCTTTAGTCTTTACCAATCTATAACAGAACCGTTATACAACTGGGCATGTGCAGATCGTAGTATTCCAAAAATAGAACAGGGTTACAGTGCGGCAGATCTGCTGTATTTTGATAGGTCCAGGACAGAAATACTGTAATGCGCAATCCAATAACTAGTTCTTATTTATTACAGGTTTACATGAGCAATTTCACTGTCATGGTTGGAATTTCTCAGGCCTTGTTCCAGCTCCCACTGACTGTATGCTCTGTTTGTATGTGTCTCTCTCAGTACCTCGCTGTGCACATCGTCCCAGACCAGTTGATGATGTTCGGAGGGAAAGGAGACCCTTGTGCCCTCTGCTCCCTTCACAGCATTGGAAAGATCGAAGGAGCTCAGAAACAGTACTCTAAACTACTGTGTGGACTGCTCAACAAACACCTGGGCATCTCCCCTGACAGGTAATGGAGACATACACATCCATATGGAGTGTTCATACAGTATATTAACCCATTCCTCTTGTGTCTCTGTGTCAGGATCTACGTGAACTTCTTTGACATGGAGGCAGCAAATGTGGCCTGGAACAACTCTACCTTCGGCTAATCAGGGGATCTAAACTTCAATGGGAGCTGACCCCTCCTTTCCCCCACACCTTAATAACGGTAGTACAGCATTAGAGTAGGCTGTGGAGAGATGAGCAGAGATGCCCAGTTGCTGTGCTGACGTAGAGCAGCATTGATAAATGCACTTAAATGGACCCTTGCTTTATAACAGACCCTTGATTTGCACTGGACCCTTGGCTTTGATGTTCCAATAAAGTGATTCCCATTGAATACAACTTGTTCTGGTTTTCCTTTGTCTTTGACTTGTTTTACTGGATGCTTTGCATTGCGTTAATATAGAGCATGCATGAAGCAATTCAACATTACCTCACACAGACAATCTATTGTGTTCAATTGTTAGGTAAAGTTCAAGGTACACAAGGAAAAAAAAGTGAGATAGCCTCCTAGCCAAATGTAAGCCACTCTGCTGGTGGAGTGATTTGCTAGGTGTGTATATTTGCCTTTTGTACGTATGTAAATAAATTGACTTCGTATATGATTGAATGTATGGTACAGAGTGCCCATGTCACTTGATGTTTACCCTGCAGTCCTTGTCCACCAATAGAGGACAGCAATGGAAACATGTCTTGACTTTTTGTGTATTTATCCTCTGCAATTTCTGGTAATTGCCTGATGTAACGTATTTACGTATTTTAAGATGTCAAGTCAAAGATTGATGTATTCACGCTCCACCTGCGCTATACATACAACCATCAACAGGTGATGACATCTAGCTGGTCATCACACTTCCACCCCATCACATCTGTGGTGCCTTGCACCTTTTCTGGGGTTCAATCAGGGTCACTGGATAGAATGGTATCAGAATACATTGGAGACCGTTCTGAATTGAGATTATAGTACTGATATTAGATTAATAACACCTTCTCTTGTGATAAGAAGTATGTTGCTACTGGTGGATGAAAAACACTTCAGCCGCCACAACTCATATGCCCACACAGTTGCCTAGCGTGTAGAAAGGGAAACTGCATGTGCTGAGGACCAATATGTCTTGCTCTTGCTTCAAGTAAACTTACAACCATGCCAGTTTTCATGGTGAACACAATGTAGCCAAAGTTTCCATGCCTGCTGCACTTCTATCTGCAGCCTGGTATCATAGACTAGAGGTAACTTAGTAAATATAAATCCAAGACACTCAAATTAGTTTGATATGTTACGTTTGGTATGGTTACATAAAACAGAACTCTACTTAAGGCAAAAGTGAAAGTAGGGTGGGTGGGTGTATAACGCAAACATCTAGCAACCCAAAGGTTGCGTGTTTGAATTTAATCATGGACAACTTTAGCATTTTAGCTAATTAGCACCTTTGTAACTACTTTTTAGCTACTTTGCAGCTATTTAGCATGTTCGCTAACCCTTCCCCTGACTTTAAACCTTTTAGCTAACCCTTCCCCTTTAACCTTAACCCTACCCTAGCTAACGTTAGCCACCTAGCTAACCTTAGCTACAACAAATTGGGATTCGTAACATATTGTACCTTTTGCAAATTTGTAACATATTGTACGAATTGCAATTTGTAACATTGTACTAATTGCAATTCGTAACATATCATACAAAATGGATGATGGACATCCACAAAATAATGCACTATATGTACAAAAGTATGTGGACACCCCTTCAAATTAGTGGATTCGGCTATTTCAGCCACACCTGTTGCTGACAGGTGTATAAAATCGAGCATACAGTCATGCAATCTCCTGACCAACAGTGGCGGTAGAATGGCCTTACTGAAGAGCTCAGTGACTTTCAACGCGGCACCGTCATAGGATGCCACCTTTCCAACAAGTCAGTTCTTCAAATTTCTGCCCTGCTAGAGCTGCCCCTGTCAACTGCAAGTGCTGTTATTGTGAAATGGAAACGTCTAGGAGCAACAACGGCTCAGCCGCGAAGTGGTAGGCCACACAAGCTCACAGAACGGGACCGCTGAGTGTTGTAGCGCGTAAAAATCGTCTATCCTCGGTTGCAACACTCACTACTGAGTTCCAAACTGCCTCTGGAAGCAACGTCAGCACAAGAACTGTTGGTCGGAAGCTTCATGAAATGGGTTTCCATGGCCGATCAACCGCACAGAAGCCTAAGATCACCATGCGCAATGCCAAGTGTCGATTGGAGTGGTGTAAAGCTCGCCGCCATTGGACTCTGAAGCAGTGGAAATGCGTTCTCTGGAGTGATTAATCTCGATTCACCATCTGGCAGGCCGACGGACTAATCTGGGTTTGGCGGATGCCAGGAGAACACTACCTGCCCGAATACATAGTACCAACTGTAAAGTTTGGTGGTGGAGGAATAATGGTCTGGGGCTGTTTTTCATGGTTCGGGCTAGGCCCCTTAGTTCCAGCATACAATGACATTCTAGAGGATTCTGTGCTTCCAACTTTGTTTGGGGAAGGCCCTTTACTGTTTCAGCATGACAATGCCCCCTTCCACAATGCGAGGTCCGTACAGAAATGGTTTGTCGAGATTGGTGTGGAAGGACTTGACTGGCCTGCGCAGAGTCCTGACCTCAACCCTATCAAACACCTTTGGGATGAATTGAAATGCCGACTGCGAGCCAGGCCTAATCGCCCAACAACAGTGCCGACTTCAATAATGCTCTTGTGGTTGAATGGAAGCAAGTCCCCGCAACAATGTTCCAACATCTAGTGGAAAGCCTTCCCAGAAGAGTGGAGGCTGTTATAGCAGCAAAGGGGGGACCAACTCCATATTAATGCCCATGATTTTGGAATGAGATGTTGTCCACATACTTCTGGTCATGTAGTGTACATACCATACGAAGCGTAACATATCATACTAAAAGGAGTATCTCGGATTTACATACAAAATAATATGATATGCTCTGAGACCAGGTTGCTATCTGAAACTACTGGAACTGTCCAAAAGCCATGGGAAATCCAGGACCTGAGGTGAGTAAAGAAAATAACTATAGCGCTAATTGTTAATGTACAGAACCCATTTCAAATAGTGTTGTATACAATGTCTTAACTTTTCCATAGCTCACAAACACATGTAGTAGGAAGGAATGAATTAAATGGAACTAAAATCTACAGCTATAATCTGTACCTAAAACATTTGTGGACCAGCACTAGCTCTTAGAACTGAGGGACTTTTGAGAAGAATGGGTGTGACTGACTGACTGTCAACATACTATTAATCATTCACATTGTGTTAAGCCATTAAACAAAGTAAATAAAAGTGTATTGACACGGCTTGACATTATGGTAGATACAAATCTTTTGTTTTCTGCAGTACTTTTTCATTCACATCTTTCCAGACCAGATGATGACGTTTGGGGGAACCACTGCCCCCTGCACACACGGTTCTGTCCACAGCATTGGAGCTATCAGTGAGGAACATAACCTGCAGTATTCTAAACTACTGTGTGAACTGCTCAACAAACATCTGGGCATCGCTCCTAACAGGTACATAACACGCATGCATGCTTGCATATATACACACACACACACAAATTGAAAATTGTGACCCATTCCATTTGTCTGTCTCAGGATCTACATTAACTTCTGTAAAATGGAGGCCCAAAACGTGGCCCGGGACAACACAACATTCAGCGCTGTTCTTTCATTGAGGAAATGAAAGAAGAGTGGATGAATAAACGGCATTGATGTTGCATCAAAAGTGAACTCTTGATTATTGTGTTGTTTTGAGTATTAATTCTATAAATATGAAAGGCAAGCAAGAAGATAATCATTAGTATAACAGTCCATAGTCAGTCTAAAAGTCTCTTATCAGGAAAATATAATTGTATATCCGCTCCTGAAGTCAGTCATGGACAGGCAAATGCAGCTGGTTCTTTACGTGGGTGTTATATAGCAATGTTGAGAATGTTGAGCAATTGAGAGAAGAGCACTGCGCCCACTCTAGTGGCAGGAAGTAAGCAGTAGTATCATGGTCCATTGGCAGTGTATAGAGCGCCTATAAACGAATCATGTGCGGTTCGCGAACGATTCATTATTTTTGAACGACTCTTTTTCAATTTTTCTGAGTGAGTCGTTCATTTTAGTCGTTCGTTCTCAATGAATCCTACAGCAGGCTTAATACACGCTCCTCTGGCTCAGCGGCTCCAGAGACGTGCTCGCAGGGAATAGATCACGAGTATAGGGAAGAATAATACATGTTTAGAACTAATAATTGATCGCATGATGCAATAATGAATGCAATTAATTGATTATTAAATGTTATGATGGACACAGTGATGGGTTTTATTTTTTAATTGGATTTGTATGTGATGAATAGCTTGGAAGGAATGCATTAATGAGGAGCACTGTACTGATATGGATTGTTTCACATAACAGGCTGATAAGAACACTCTCTCTTTGTTGTCTGTGAAACTGTCCTTGAACATGGCTACAGTGGATTTTGTGTATTTTCGGTGCTGACTCCGCAGGTTATTATCATAGCAACTATGCCTGGTAACAAATGGAACGGATTGGCTGAAATGGAGTCTGGACCACACTCAGTCCTTTGCTCTGGTTGGCCAACAGAAGAAGTGGAGGCTTTCTGTCAGAGTATTTGAAGAAGAACTTAGAACAATGGATTAGTTAACTGAGTGCCCTGCGTGGTATTTCAGTGGACCCGTATATACGAACCTTCATACTTATCATACATACATTTTGCATATAATAAATTAAGCTTGGATTGAAGATCTCTTGATTCTTATTCCAACACCAGATTTGAATTACGCAATTTCTAACAACAGCTTTGAGCTTTGCAGAACCAAAACATACACAACCTCTAAAATCTGCTCAACTCCCTCTCGAGAACGAATCGTTTGAGGGGCTGCAGTTCGCGGACGACATTGTGCTTATCACCCAGTCATTTAAGCAATGCATTCCACCAATAGTCGTTCACAATCTAGTCCGGTTGCGGCTACAACTTTGTTTAAAATGTATCAATAATTAATCTTATTTGTATGCCTAGCAATCAACAAATGTATATTGTTTAAAGCACACGTTTACATGTCTCAGTCACAAATGACAGCTCCAATAAGCCCTCTATTGTGAACGAGAGGCTTCCAGAATCGAGTTTTCAGTTCATCGTTCGCCGGCAGGCGTCCTGTGTGCTCTGGGCATTACTCACTCAAATGGACGAAATTAGTCGAAAAGATTTTCAGTAAAAAGAGCCGAACTTCCCATCACTACTATAAACGCAACAATGGCAAATTACTTCCAGCTAAGGAGAGACTTGCATTTCAGAGGCCACA